AAATGAAAAAGCCCCCCCCAACCCCCCGCCCAAGCCCCCCCCCCCCAGTGGCACTGCGGACTTACAACGCTAAAAATCGGGTTTCGATACCCCTGGTGGGCAGAACACAGATAGCCCATTGTGCAACTTTGTGCTTAACTACAAAGAAACAGATGCTTGACAAAACATGTTGTTATTGTTTTTCTGAAATTGTAAAGGAGTCTATACGTCGGAAATTATTGAAACTTAATAGTTTTTCAAAACATCTTTTTTTGGAAAGTAATGTTATTTACAATATTTTAAAGTGGAAAAATAAGTTTGTTTGTTATTAAATAGAAAGCCACACAATAGGCTATCTGTGCTTTGCCCACAGCGAGTATCGAAACCCGGGTTTTTGCGTTGTGAACTCGAAGACTTATCATTGAGCCACTGATAGGCAGGAATGAATATAATGTGTAACGGAAAATAAATAAATTTATCAATTTTTCAACTCGTGAAATACGTAAACAACAAAACACCTTAAATCAGTAATTACCTCTTTTTTATATATGCTTCGTTCATTAGCTTCCTACATTTAATACAATGCCACAGTCCATATGTCAGGAGTTATATGAATTAAGTGATATTTCAATATGGTTAAAACTTATAAGAGCCTTTTATTATAGAATCTGGTGGTTAGGGCGCTTGACTCACAAGCTGTGGGTCGCGAGTTCTAATTTCATCAGTAATTATGCTCGCCCTTTCAGCCGTGGTGGCGTAATAATGTGGCGGTCAATCCCACTATTTGTTGGTAAAAGAGTAGCCCAAGAGTTGGCGATGGGTGGTGTTCACCGTCTCCCTTCCCTCTTGTCTATCACTTCAGGATTAGGGACGGTCAACGCAAAATTAGAGAAATAAAGAAATTAAAACTTTCAATCTTCAAGTGATGTAATGACGTTGTTTATATTTTAATTTTAGACACAGGCTATGTTATACATCGAGCATAATTGCATCATGAAACAAGTATCATAGTGAGATATTCTTTAGATTTTTTACAAATATTGTTTCTTAAATTTGAAGTATAGGGATTTTCATGTAAGTTATTCAAGTTAACATAGATAGATCCGTTAGTATTGTGCTTCGATTCCTGCAGTGGACACGGTGCAGATAGCTAATTTTGTAGCTTTGGGCTTAAACAACGCAAACAATTCAGCACTGGGACAGAAAAAAATTCGATTGCACTGCCCCCAAGTGGTTCAGCACAAATTTTCAGACTTACGAAGCTAAAAATCGAATTTCATTACCCATGGTGGGCAGAGCACAGATAACCCATTGTGTAGCTTTGCGTTGAACAACAATCAAACCAAACTTGTCGTACTAGCAACATCTGTAGTTAATTACAAAAACTATTTTTAAGTTTGTGCCTAATAAGATACAAAGCCAAGTATTTTCTCTTCACAGATCTATATCCATTACATCCAGTGATGCATAAATACATTAAAGATTACGTTGTTTAGTTTAGAATTGTCTTTCCTATTTCGCGCATCTTTGTTTTAACGAATTACTCCATTACCTTTTATATAAAAAGTAAGAAATTTTTTTCACGTTAAGCCTTTTACAATGTTTAAGCAATAAAAGTAAAATTTTATGCGAAATATTAAAAGCAATTTTATATAAAACATAAGAAAGCATTTAATGGGTATAGAGTGAAGCATAAAAATGTACGTGTGTGTTTGTTTTCACGAAAAAGGAAGTGGAATTAAAAACTTAAATTTTAACGTTTTTTATCATTATTTTATTTTTATACAATCGCTCTTAATTTGGTAAATTATCATTATTCACGTGAAAGTATTGCACGTTCATTTGCCTCTGTTTTATTATTCAGTTGACTTATTTTCGTTTGGTTGATACGAGCTAGTAACAATACGAATAACGTACAAGTTAATTAGATCAGATTCTTTGATTTTCTTCTGGTGACATTAAAACAATTATTTTGTTACATGTTTCTAACTAATAGCAAATGCTAACACTAATCAATTTATTGATAATGTTACGGTCATCAGGGTTGCCAGATTTCGGTCAGAAAATAAGAACATCTTTCCCAAGTTTCATTTACTATCATGTGAACATTAAATAACCTTAATTCAGGGCCTGGCGTGGTCAGGTGGTTAGGACGTTCGACTCGCAATCTGCGGGTTCGAATCCCCGTCACACCAAATATGCTCGCCCTTTCACCCGTGGGGGCGCTATAACGTGACGGTCAATTGCACTATTCGTTGGTAAAAGAGTAGCCCAAGAGTTGGTGGTGGGTGGTGATGACTATCTGTCTTCCCTCTAGTCTTTCACTGCTAAATTAGGGACGGCTAGAGCATATAGCCCTCGTGTAGCTTTGCGCGAAATTCAGACCAAAAGAACAAACCTTAAGTCAGTCACTCGTTATTATGTGTTTACGCTTTGATTAGTTCGATATATAATATTTAATTGTCCATTTTTGTTATATTTTCAGTTTTCATCATAATCGAATAGAACCAAAAACAAAGTATTACAAAAACCGACAAAACAAAATAGCAAGTGACCGCGGGAAAGGACAAGCTCAATTCCGCGGTAGGTCTGCGGACTTACAACGCTAGAAACCGAGTTTCGATACCCGTGGTGGGCAGAGCACAGATAGCCCATTGTGTAGCTTTATGCTTAATTACAAACGAATAATTCCGTAGTTTCTAAGCAGAATTGGCAACCGTTAATGAAGTATGTTTTTATTTAATTTTGTAAAGCGGGGGGTGGGGGCATCGAATCGAGATACACATCAAGAGTGCTGAGCGATCACGTGATTGCTCACGTGATTAACGACGTAACTACTACAAATGTTTCATTTCTGGAGCAATCACGTGAAGGTGGGGGGCAAAAATACATCTGTATAGGTTGGTATTATAACTTAATGCGGCGTGATTGTCGTTTGTTTGGAATTAAGCACAATGGGCTATCTGTGCTCTGGCCACCACAGGTATCTAAACCCGGATTCTAGCGTTGTGCCACTGGGGTTCGTATTTATCGAAACTAGTATGCAGGCTTTACTGTCATCATCGATCACAGGTTTTATCTTATCCTTCAATTCCTTTTCTTTTCCCTATCCTTGTTTTATTTTCTCCATATTTTGCCCATTTTGGTCTCCCGGTGGGACTGTGGTAATTTTACGGACTTGCAATGCTAAGATCTGGAGTTCGATTCCCCGCGGTGGACATAGCAGATAGCCCAATGTGGCTTTGCTCTAAAATAACCAACCAATCGCTTTTGTTGGCGTCATACTTTTTTTTATGGCTTACTCTCAAAATGGCGATTTGTGCTACTTAATTGGAATGTAAAATGTGTCAAGTGGGAGAGGCATGGACATGTGTGGGGATAAGATGATTCAAAAATTGTAATCATGTGTAAGCAATTAATTAATCCAGTCAATCCCCGAAACCACTCCTACAACCATTTCACTGTGTTTTTAAGTCAGCTACTGAAAAGAAGTCCAAATCAGCGACCTCAGGATGAAACAAGCCGAAAATACCACAATTCACGACACTATAAAAAATTAAAGCGAATATTAAAAACAAAACAAAAAACAAGCCCGATTACGCTTATTATAAGTAGAATTGGCAACATTGACGGTCATGTATGTGTGAGGACTAAGTTTATAGAAACACTCCCTTTATTGGACAAATTAACCAAGTATTTTCTTGAAAATATACAATCAGCCTTTTAATAGCTCTATTATCATCACCAAATCACGTTAAGGCAATTATTCTAATTAGTTAATTTTAACTTTTATAGTCTTTTTACCCAAAATATTGAATTAATTCAGAAGACATACATTTTTCAACATCAGATAGCGCTAAGAATGTAGGTCCGTTGTTTATGTCCTGTTTCAGAAAAAGCTTATAATTTTATTACATAATTTCAAAATTTGTTAGTATTTTAGTCAGTTTGTTTTATGTTCTTTTTGCTACAGCCTGTTGGAGGTTGACCTAGTTATATTAAACTTGTCATTAAAGATATAAACAACGATAAACGTATTGGAATGACATTAAGATATAAATAAAATAAAGCTATTTAAAAAAAAATTTTTTTCATCCAATGTAGATTTTGAAAATGATATTCAAATGAAGGCTCGGTACAGAGAAAATGAACACGTGTGGTACTTTCAGTTTAACAAGTCCTTCAGGAGCTAAGGGGTGTATTTACACTACAATTTGTTGAATATTAAAAGTAAGTTCGATCCGAAAATATAGTTTGGATATGGTTTGTTATTTATTTGAATTTTTTTAAAGGCAAGAAATTGTTTTTCATGTTCTGTTATTACTAAAGAGTAAGTTATTTTAGAAAAGCTTGAGTATGAGAAACTGTATTATTCATATTTGGAAAGAATAGGTTCATGGAAAATGTTACACATGTCGTTGTTGGATTGACTACTGTTGTAATGTTACCAAAGTTTAATCAAAAAGCATGTTACGTAATTGCCGTTTAATAAGCTAAACTCAACATTGTATTTTTAAAAAGTATTTTCTATTAAAAACTTGTCAATTCTCTCTTTTTTTTTCTTTTTTTTTGTTGTTGTTTTTGGATGATAGAATCCTCGTATGTGTAGATGTGTATAAATTTCCAGAAATTTTTTATTACATTCTTCAGAAATTAGTTCAGAATGAGACATCAGAGAGTAGTGATAAATGTGCATCTTTTTCAAATTAAAGAATTTGATTAGTTTGCATTGTAAACATTATGGCCTATTATTTATGCCATGAAGACTTGGATATTTTATGACCAATAATAGTTTTAAATTTGCTGATGGTATTAAAATGCTGGAAAAGGCTAATTCTGTAGATTTTCAATTCAGGAAAACCTAGACTGTTTTTGTAAGAGGGCAAGAAAGTTTTGTAATTGAGGTATTTTTACTGAAGAAACTTTGAACATTTGCTTCAGTACTTGAAAGAAGTGAAGAAGAATTAATAGGAGTTTATAAGAATTCCTCATTTAAAACTACAGGTATATATCTGTTGAAGTGATTAAACAATTAAGAACTTGTTCAACAGCCCCCATTCTTCAGCTCTTGATGCTTTCTGTACCTATGTGACAGACACATTCAACACAATTTCTAAAACATATCCCATAATGCCTCAGATAACCAATACTTTTCTCAGTCTTGTGCCTGTGGCCTTAAGAGTAAGTACATTTCAGAGACCTTGTACATGTATATGAATCCTATGCATTTAATACTAACTAAATATTTTGAGACAACAAGGGACCTATTTGTCCATCTTGTTTGGGCAAGCAGCTCAAAGATGGAGCTGCAAGCCATAAAGCAAACTCTGCTCTGGATTGCTGAAAGTAATGAACCACAAATTTAGTGCCACCAACATAATATTTGCTGACAGTATTGCATAAAATTTGGAATGATTGGTCCCTAGATGGATGACAGAAAACAAAGCAATTGCATGGGAAGATCAGGCCATGCAGGAGTAAAGTCAAACAAGGAAGCTAATAAGCTTGCAAAAGAAGCCATTATATCAAATCCTGCACGGTGTTACTGACAGAATATTGACCTCCTCTGCACTACTAATGCAAAAGTGGCAACCATAAAAGGTCTTCATTGACAATTAGATGGAATGAGATTGCTGAAACAAGAAAAGTACTATATGGTGTAACTAGGAACGGTAATAGATGTGGGATCAATACTACAGATAACAGCCAGAAGGCTACTGAAACCATCAGTAATGGAACTCTTCTATATTGTGTGAGGCAAATGGGCTCTGCACAAGAGACATATGCATGTTGGCACACCCCCAGCACTCAGCTAAACAACTTAAAAATATTCAAGGTGAAACTACAGTGAATTTAAGCTGTAGCTGATGCTTATTATAAGGACCTGATCTTCACTTTCTAAAGATTTGTCAAGTCCCTTGAACTCTAACATTGATAGTTTGAGTTCTGTGTTTCTTTTCATATATATATATATTACAGCATAAATAAACTTTGTTTTCCAACTCCATTGCTTATGATATACCCAACAAAAAGCTTAACATTGATTTCAATTATCAAAATGCACCCGTACGTATTGCATTATAAATCAGCCTATTTAAGACGAGACTGGATTGTAATTTTAAATTTATTATTTTCACTGTTATGTGAGCTAAAGTTATGGAGAGTTTTTATACTTATTCTGGCCAACTCCAGTTATTTTTGAGCTCCTAAATCAACTCATTGTAACTCTAAACTGCAGGAAGCCATCCAGTGGCTCAATGGCAAGTCTTTGGACTTATGACACTTAAAATTGTGTTTTAGATACCTATTGTGTAGCTTTGTGCTTAAGAAAAACCAACCAACTAAATTGCAGGAAAACTAAATGTTGAATTCTTTCCTTGATATGCTATCCAGTCTATTGTTGTTTAAATCAACAGATGTTTCCAGTTCTTCTATAATCTATGAAAATCTGAAGCTTACCCTATCAAATCCATTTCTTAGTATTATCTCTAGAACTGTTACATGTGAAACAGTACACATTATATTACTATTATGCAAGCCTCTTGGCAGTTACAGGACTAGCCTTAATTTTTAACTTCCACTTGATAATTACATTCTTACCACGAAAGATGCTGAAGTTTTAAATAAAGTGAAGATTTTTTTCAGAAGTTTAGGTGTCATTAAACTTTAAGAAACATAGTTGTACTTTGGGTTTAAGTTTAGCTGCAGTGAAGTTTTTGTTGGTAAGAGATTCTTTTAAAGAAGTTTTAATGTGCTGTAGGGATAATGCCTTTGCTTGTTTTATATACTTGAACTCGAAGTTTCTCATAACAAGCAAATATTTTTTGAAAGTACATTACTCTTGATATTAATAGATTTTGAGAAGATTTATATTATCAGAGAAACTAAAAATTGTTCAGGAAGGATAAATTTAGAAGATTCGCTGGAGATTATATGAAGTGATGGTTTTTTATCGTGATGACCACAACGGTCAGATGTAGTTACTCAGTGTGATAACTTTCTTAGAATAATGTTTGACGTGTATGTTTTACAGTTCTGAAGCTTGTGTGAAACAAAAATCTCTTAAAGATTATGTTATATATGCATGATTTTGCAATTACTTGTGCATTACGTGTGAGTGCTTGTATTAATTTTTCAGGATGAATTATTGAATAACTGAGTGACTTGTATATTTGACTACAGTTACTGCAGGTCTACGTAGAAAAATGTGAATTAACATGTTTGATATGATGGATCTAAAGAGAGACAATAACACCATGAATACACCTTCTGGTAACCCTAACGAAAGAGCAGTTCCTTGGTGTTGTTGGGGTAGAGGTATGCGTAGCCTTTCTCAGGCAGAATTCATAACACAGTGGACCCATTTATTACCTCGACCATCAGTGAGTATCTGTTTCTTCACTCAAAATTATTTTGTTCATTGCACTCGGTTGGTGTTGTGGACTCCATGCATTAGCTGTATTTTCATCTTGAAGAAGTTCTTATTTACTTAATTTTTTAACCTTTAGTAATTACAGAAGTTTCAAATTTACTTTTGCACTAGACCCACCTGATGTTTTAACTTATTCCACTCATTACTTACTTGATCCTTTATCTTGTACTCCATAATTACAAGTCCCACCTGATCCTTTAATTTCCATTCAGTAGTTCCAGGTCTTACTTTTTCCTTTAATTTCCACTCAGTAGTTACAGGGCCCACCTGATCCATCAACTTCCACTTGGCAGTTACAAACCTGACCCGATTCTTTAACTTTCACTCTGTAATTACAAGTCCCACCTGATCCTTTAATTTCCATTCAGTAGTTCCAGGTCTCACTTTTTTCTTTAATTGCCACTCAGTTGTTACAGGGCCCACCTGAACCATCAACTTCCACTTGGCAGTTACAAACCTGACCCGATTCTTTAACTTTCACTCTGTAATTACAAGACCCACCTGATCCTTTATTATCTTGCACTCAGTAGTTAGAAGACCCACCTAATCCATTATTAACTTCCACCCAGTAGTTACAGGGCTACCTGATCTTTTAACTTCCAATCACTCAGTAGTTACAAGACCCACATGATATTTTTAAATTTCCACTTGATAGGTACATTCTTACTATAAAATATGTCTAACTTCTACATGCACATTCTCAGTCACAAGAATTTCTTACATTTGAAAAAACTCAAAGCATTCGTTCTACAAAAGTTTCATGTACATGCATACATATATTAGCAAGAAAGAATATTCTTAATTCTTAAAGCCGTATGATGTATTACTTCAGTATATACCCATAACACTGATTTGAGAGTTGATTTTGTCTGAAAATGTTTGCCTGTTTATGTGAATAAATTATAAATGAAAAAAAGTCAAAACATATTAAACAAGTTAACTAATACTGATAATAAAAGAATGGAATGTCATAGAGCTGGACAACTAAGTCCATTAATCAGTATAATTGACAACCTATGAGCATTGATTATGTTGATCAGTATAACATAAAATAATTGCTTAATTAAAATAATGAATAAACCGATTAATGTCACAAAAGTATTCAATTAATGAGATTTAGTTTTTCCAATTATTTCAACTATTTAGTTTGTAATGGAAATATTGCCAATAATTTTTCGTTATTGTTTTTGATTAATTCATTGTTCTTCAGCTTAACGAGTTTCTTACAACTCGCAGAAATAATCAACTAATCAAAATTATTGTTTTTAATGAATTCAATGTTTATCAGCTTAATCAGTTTGTTACGACTCACAGAAATAATCAACTCATCAAAATTATTGTTTTTGATTAATTCAGTGGTCTTCATCAGAATCAATTTGTTACGACTCACAGAAATAATCAACTCATCAAAATTATTGTTTTTGATTAATTCAGTGGTCTTCATCAGAATCAATTTGTTACGACTCACAGAAATAATCAACTCATCAAAATTATTGTTTATGATTATTACTGTTTTAAATTATTGGAACTATCCAAGTCTTTTGTAAGAATAACTGTTTAGCTGAATGTAATCAATTAATGATCTCGGTGATTAATCAATTAACAAATTGTCCAACTTTAGAATATAACTCACATAAAACTAGCTATTTGCTTCATGCACTATTATAGCTTGTTCATGTAATGGACAGCACCCTTAGGGCTAGTCGTTGGAGTTTTGACTATACTATCGATTAAACCAAATTTATTTATTTGAGGATTGCAGTGGTGAGTGGAGCTCACAAGTCACTAACTCGAGGAGATTTATGGTTAGACTAAAGAAACTGATCCAGAGACTGATATTCAACACAATACATCAAATTTATTCAAGTTTCTTAACATAAAATACACTTTAGTAAAGCTTGAAGCATTTGCTAACTCTTCATAAAAGAACACTTTAGGTTAACAGCACTGATAATTATAACTCACACCTAACATAGTTTACTTTCTTAACTTTGATATGATTCTTTATAATCAATCTACAACCACATTATATGACTAAGAGAGAAATAGTTTCCTTACTTACAACACAGTTGTCCTGGTAAAATGTTGCAGCTGGGACACCTCTATGTTCATAGTTTCTGGATTATCAGCAACTATGGGAAGAATCTCAATTCTTCCTGGAGAGAGCTGATTTTTTAGCCCTAGACACGAGTTTTTAAACCATATTTTCTTTGTATTCTTTTGACTTTCCAAATAGTGTTCCTAACTACCTGCAAGTAGATCTAACACTTTATTAGTCAATCTGTGCAATTCTTAGGGCTAATCCAAAATATGTAATTGGTTAGTGTGATGGTGAGTGCTCCAGTTGCCTTTTTACTTGTACTACAACACTAGTCTCGAGTAACAGATCTCACATCAAAGCACCGATTTGAGATGCTATCATAAACTTTATAGTGGCCTTTACTGTACTATTAACTCGGCATCAGTAACTTATCACTGTCAACTCATGACTAGCATTTTTCTCAGCATCTCTGTTGTTATTTCATTTTTTATATCTCTGAACTCGTGATTCTCAATACCACTTAATCAGCTAGCTGTACTTTCTTAGCTCTTGACCTTATTTCGTAACACAGGCATCTTTTACTTGCGCCATTTCTTCATGTATATGTTCACTTAAAAACTCAGAAAATTGTTATAACTTCTTTCTTAAACTCTTTTAAAACACAAAAATACTGAAACAATTGTAAAATTCCCTCAAAAATATCCAATTACTTCATTCACGATTTCACAGTCATTGAGATTTAGTCAAAACTTCTTGAGGTCTGAAATAAACATACAACATGTAAGCAAAGTTACACAGATGGTTTTATTTTTAATAATTTTAAAATGCAGTTGATCCTGATAGGGTCCACATAGGCTGTATCAGTTTTTTTTAAACACATTTTTCAAAACTATTTATGGACCAAGTAGCTTGTGAGTCCATGTCTTTCTTCTTGTATGGTCCTTGTACGTACCATAGAAACAAACAGCATTAATATTGAATTACTTCCACTAATCCTATGTATTTTATCTTGCATAGAAAATAGATGATTTTGTCAAGTTTTGTTTAGTCAGTTGTAATGGACGAAAACAAGAATTTACTGAATATAATGTAGTATGTATAATCCACTACAATACAGTACAGAAGGTGTAGGTCTAACAAGATTCATAATGAAATAGAAAGTTGTTTAGTAAAAATGTTGGTCATGTTTGTCACTCTTTCACAATTAAAATTATGTATATAATAGTATTTTTGATAATTTAATTTGTTTGATGAAAGTAACTTAGTATATGAAAAAATAAAGATAAATTTTTTCAGCATTATAAAGGTTCTAAACTTTTAAACCTTTATTTTGAGCAGAAAGACGAGTATGGATCTGAAAGAGGAAGAGGTCGAGGAAGAATTCCTGTTTCAGTGGTATGTAATATTAGTCAAGAAATACATGTATAACTTGAAGTTGTGCATACAAATACATAAACATACAAAGAAAATTTCCAATAAAATTAGGTTTTAAGCACTCAAAGTGAGAATATTCTATAATTTTCCAGAGCTCACAAAAAAGTATAATTTTGAGGTATTTGGTTAATTAATATGTCATATTTTGACCCAATTAACATGGGATTTGATACAAAGATACCTTCGTGCAGGTTCCAAGCAGTGATATATACAGTTTTCAATTTTTCTGTGCTTTTGTCAATTTTTCTTATGTCAAAATTAGCCATGTAGGGATTGTGTGGTAGAGACCTGTTAAATTCACCAATAAATGTTGGCCTCTAATTGATTTACATTTCTAGTTTGATACTATGTTTTTATAGTTGATTCTTTAGTTTTGTAATGTAACTGATTTTATTTTCAGTGTGTGTGGCCAGTAATGAGTTATAATACAGCGTAATTGTTTTTCCAGAATATGGAAACTTATAACAAGAGTCATTCTTCCTTTGAAAACATCCATATGTCAGGCAATAATGAATCTAGGGATGATGGTGATTTGATAAGTAGCGTTAAAAATCATCTCAATACTTTTGAAGAAAAAAAGCAAAGATCTGTTCAAAAACATTTACTTGGAAAGAGATTTTGTCATACAAAACCTCCACGCATTGTCAAGTATTCCACTGAGGTAGAAGAGACAGATCTAAGTACGGACAGCTTTACAGGTTACCAAACTTCTCCTTCAAACATATCAGTCTGTAGTGTTTCATTGAAGAATGAGCCACGCTTGAATGATATGGGTAATGAAAAAGAAATTGAACTTCCTTTCCGTTCTTCGTCACTTGGGTTTCAAAGTGATATCAAAGGAAAACAAGCAATGGAGAAACATAGTGAGAAATCACGGTGTCCTGAGACAACTAAAAATCCATCTTACAGTAAACTCAGTGGCATCTGTACCAGTGCAAAGGAATCTAATTTTATCCAATCAGAAGAATTTGTTCTAAAACATAATCTTGATGCGCCTCTTCATTTGAGAAAAGAGATTGATACCACTCAAAATCTGGAAAAGGAATTTCAATATTTAAATATCAAAGCTTCCTCAAAAAGAAAAAAGAAAAAGGCTAAGAAAAAGAAATCAACTAATTGCGAGTTAACAACTAAATCGTATAGTAGTGTCCAGAGTAACGAAACTGATTTAGCTGTTCAAGGTGTTCGAAATACAACTTTAGGTAATTCTATACCATTTGTAGAAAGAACTTTAGTAATTGAAAACCTTCCAATTGGTATTAGTAAATCCAGCTTGATCGATTATTTTTGTGGCTTTGGAGAAGTTCAAGATCTGATCCTTCAAAATGTGGACAACACGGAAAACATTGCCTATGTTGTGTAAGTACATTCTATTCCAGTTTGGATTTTATGGTAAAGTCCAGTACTTCCTATATGGTTCTATTATTCTTATCTAGTTCAGTGATGTTTTTCCCTTTAAGTAAATTAAGAAACAACATTACATTATATGTCACTCAATAGATTAAAACTTTCTCTTTCTATTGGTTATAAATGATATAGTAGAAAATGTTGTAAAGAATTATTGGCAATTTGTAAATGAGGACGTGGCAGGTAGGCATGGCAAATGGGTCTGATTTTTTAGTTTATAATTCCATAAACAGAAGGTTGTAGGCTATACAAGTTAGACTGCCTTAATCATATCTATATTATAATGAGTAATTTATGTTAAATTCCATATCTCAGAGAGTGATGATGATGATAAATTAGAGAAAGGGAGAAGACATAGAGAAAAAAATGTAAATTTTTCATACTAGGGGAGATTGAGGATTTTTCAAAATACTTCCTTATAAAATTAAGAACTAACTAAGTTTTGATGCCCAGTTTATTGGTATACATTGATAATAAAGTAATTTAATTAAGTTTTGAATGTAACTCTGTAAAAGGTCATTACATGTGCACTTTGAACTACTTGTAGTGAGAGTGGTAACAAAAGGGTAAGTGATCCGTGTGTTCTTTAAAGTGGAAAGTATATGAATAGTGAGAGCTACAATGAAGATTTGAACAATAAATAATACTTGCTAGTACATGTTGTTCCTCCCCTGTAAATTACACTAGAGCAAAAACAAATACTAAAACAACCTCAGGTTAATTTAAGTAATTTACGGTAAAACAAAGTTTAAATACCTGTGAAATTCAAGTTGTTACTTGGATTTCACAGAAAAAACTTTACTAAGTAAACAATTCTTACAATGGCAGAAGCACTACAACACTTCATGCATAATGTAAAAAAAAACTAACTTGTGAGCATAAACAAATGAAAATGAAAGCAAGAACTGACTCATGCTTTAACAAATGAAAATGAATAGTTAGGGTTAAACACATGGAATGTGAACACTTAACACTAAACAAGAACTTTAGGAGTTCTCACTACTATAAACAAAGAAAATTTAGCATAACACAACAGATCTCTGCTGACTACTTATCAGCAGAAATCTGTAGTTCTTTGTACTCCTCACATAAGTAGTCAGCAGAAATCTGTAGTTCTTTGTACTCCTCACATAAGTAGTCAGCAGAAATCTGTAGTTCTTTGTACTCCTCACATAAGTAGTCAGCAGAAATCTGTAGTTCTTTGTACTCCTCACATAAGTAGTCAGCAGAAATCTGTAGTTCTTTGTACTCCTCACATAAGTAGTCAGCAGATATCTGTAGTTCTTTGTACTGTTCACATAGTCAGCAGAGATCTGTTGTTCTTTGTACTCCTCACATAAGTAGTCATGGGCTTGGGCATGTTAAGGAGTTAACACTAATTAGGTATTTAAGCTCATGTTTGCACTATAGAATTCAGATTTTATGTGAATTTCAGTGTTTTAACTTTCAGTAGGAGCTCCTATAGCTTTTACAGAGTAGTTTTTTGTTTTTGTCACATAAGTAGTCAGCAGAAATCTGTAGTTCTTTGTATTTGCCACAAAAGTTGTCAGCAGATATTTGTAGCTCTTTGTGCTCCTCACATAGTCAGCAGAGATCTGTAGTTTTATACTATTCACATAAGTAGTCAGCAGATATTTGTAGTTCTTTGTGCTCCTCACGTAAATAGTCAGCAGAGATCTGTTGTTCTTGTACTCCTCACATAAGTAGTTTATGCACAAGATACCTCATTTGGTTAGTGGAAGGTGTGCAAACTAAGGGTGTGACTGCCCAAAGCTATTATCTGCTTCGTCGACAGGTACTGCTCAGCTCACTAATTAATTGCTTTGTTATTCCTGTAAGAGAACCAGATACGTGTGTTTTTGCCTTCACACTAAACTCTACTTGCACTTAGAAAAAGCTGAGGTTAGTAACTCGTATGAATGCCTTACTGTGTCCAAAATGGGTACTATGAAAAAACAAAATAATTTTGGAAAAATTTACTTTTTTTATCTAAAATGATGGAAAACAAATTGTACATCCCTGTACTACAGCAGTATAGAAATTACTTCAAACTGATTGGTGAAAAATACACACCTGAGCCAGTACTGTCAACTTGGTTTTGTAATGCTTATAAAACCTAATTCTGTTTTTGTCAGTCTTCATTATAGTATTACTGGTCTTTTATATTTTTGTTAGAGTGTAATTTGATTACTTTTGTAATAAAAATGTGTGGTTAGTTGCGTTAGGTTAGAAGCTTATCCCCGTAATGTGTAGTGAGAATGCCTAAAGTTACATAAGAATTGAATATATATATATTTATTTATTTGTTATATTCATTTATATTAGATTGTCACCAGAAACAAACACTGACTGGATTATTGATTGTTTAAATGAAAGCTCTGCTTTTGGAGGTAAGTTGTAACCATTCTTCTAACAAGGTGTTGACGTGTTTTGTAACATACAACTTTACTATGTCCACAGCTGCAGCAAACTCGAGTCGTGTCTTCAATAATGAGATTAAAGTATGTTTATTGTACACTTAAGGATTGCATTTAACTTAGATTTGTAATTAATAATTAAGATTTATTATGTTATAGAGAAGAACCACCACTTATAATTAATTGCAAATTACTAATTATTTCACAAAAGAAAATCGGTATACACTGATGAGAAATAATCATTATTGTACTAACAATGTTTTGTGCTGAACGATCATCTCAAGAAGTAATGGTGTTAAATACAAAAATAAGTAAAATAAATCGGAGACAATTTAGAGATGATGATGTTAGATGCTTGTTTACCATTATGTAGGTGTACTTGATGATAGGGAGGAATATCAAAAATTTGTTTCTCAATAAATTACTAATAATGAACGAACATAAGCCATTCTACGTTGCAATTAAAAATAAAATATTTTTAAATATGTATTAAAAACAATTACTTAATTCTAATTAATTATCATGGACCACAATAGTGGTTCGTAATAGCGATTGCAATGAATTGCACAAAACCCTAATAGAACGTTTGGGCGAAAAGTACCTTAAACAATAAAGATTCAGTTCAATCAACACTTTAAAACCTTTACTATTGACTGCTGAGGCTGTACATGTATAAAAATGTACAAAAAAGCAAACATGTTAGACTTACAAGGAAAAGAAAATCTGCTCAAAATGGCTATTTGTAATAATAATTATTATTATTATTATTAATCTCTTGCTAGCTTACAACAAAAATGGCTTGATATATTGCATCCAAACCTTTTATCAAATACTAAATAAGGTAGTGTGAAAGTCGTGGGGTATTGTAAACTCGATTTCTTTTTTCTATGTTTTACATAAGCTAAAAATATCATAATTCTATTGTAAACGATGCTATTATTACCCCTTGAAGTTAGCTTTCTTACAAATATCTGATGTTCCTTTAAAAAGCATAAGTATAGGGTGAAACAGGAATTACCAGCCAATAATAGAGGAACATTAGATCACTGTAACATGTAGATACTCAATGTTTTGTACACTATACAATTGGTGTCTTTATGGAGCCAACCCCTATATTATGTACGAAGTGAAGGAGTTAAAAAATCAATACACATAATATTAAATTTTATTATACACATTAGTAGAATAATTACTTTAAAAACATGAAGGTTTATTAAAATGTTTGAGATGTATATCTTTTATTTGAAAAAGCTGCTTTTCTACTGGTAACATTTTATATGTGCGTAGTGGGACTGTGTCTTAGTCTAGGCATATATTTGCACATTGCTATGCATTATATATAGAGAATTTAGTTACACAGAAACAATAAATGCTCACTATATGCTCATACAATCTCCCCATGACAATCTCCATCTGCAGCTTAACATTTTACATCTTGAACTAATACGATGAAATAGTCAATAGCTATAGTAAATCATCATGAACCGTATCAGCTTGTTACTGCAAACAAGATAAATAAAATATTGGGAATTAAAAACATGCAAATAGGGAGCATAAAGAAAGTAAACAAATGAGGCTGGAGATACTGTAGACATTATTTACTCAAACTACAAATCCCTATTTTGTCTCCACCAAATGTAATTCTAAATAGCAGCATGGAGCCAAAATAGGGATTTGTAGTTTGAGTAAATAATGTCTGCGGTATCTCTAGCCTTGTTTGCTTACTTTTTTTACGATCCCTATTTACAGGTTTGTAAATTCCCAATTTTTTATTTATCTGTACTGTAATAAACTATAGATTAATATGATATAGATGAACCATTAGTTTCAATGAATAACAGTCATAATATTTTATGCAATATAAAACAGATAGAACATCTTAAACCAATAATGATTGTATTAAATCATCTGTTACATACTCTTTCTGTGATGTGTATTTTTGACTATTTAATAAAAAAAAAAACGTGATTAAAAAGCATTGAAAAAAGCAGATTATTTAGAGTCTTGTATTTTCCATTTTCCTGAGGTTTTATGTATTTTCCAGTATTTCCTGAGGATCGCGGGTTCGAATCCCTGTCCCACCAAACATGCTTGCCATTTCAGCCATGGGGGCATTATAATGTGACGGTCAATCCCACTATTCGTTGGTAAAAGAGTAGCCCAAGAGTTGGGTGGTGATGATGACTAGCTGCCTTCCCTCTAGTCTTACACTGCTAAATTAGGGATGGCTAGCGCAGATAGCCCTCGTGTAGCTTTACGCAAAATTCAAAACAAAACAAAATGGTATTTCCTTCAATTTTCCAATTTTGCTATTTAAAAAATTGAAGAAACAAAAATACAAATTAAAATTAAAGTTTATGGTCATTTACTGGAGATTCTCTAAAAACTATGTATTGCAGAATATGAAACAGTAATATCTTCAGGTAAACATAAATAAAAGCTAAAACAATTAAAATATTTTCACTTTGAAATATGCTATTCCACAAAATGTCAGTTACAAATCATTCGTATGAGATTATTTGTATAGGATATCTCCATGTGTTCATAACGAGGTAGTTGCAGTACTACATACGTTGGCAAAACCAAGTGCTATTTAACTGTATGCATCCATAACATGTTTGTTGTTTTGTAAATTTGTGTTTATGTTACACGATGTTTCTGTAAAATGATTTTAGGCTTTTTTATTTTTCCCTATTTTTTAATCTTTAATCTTTTAATTAAAAGATTAATCTTTTAATCTTTGTCAATATCTGACAAATAAATGTATTTTGTATATTTTTAACCAAAAGACACTTGATGTCATTAAATTGCACAGCCTTATGTTTTGGTGAAATAAATGTCTCGTGTGTCACTAGTACAGGGGTCATGTGTACAACACGAGAAATAAGTACCACCACCATTAAATATAACGGTTGATAGGCCTGAAACTATTTTTAAGCTTTCTTTGGAGTGAGTCTGTAGTTGTATTTTTGAACAATTTTTCTCGATCCATAATCCCAGTTTACTTGATTGTTACCAATAAACAAAAAAAAACTATAAATTTATAAAGCTTATTGCACTGTTACCTGTTTTGTTGTTTACAGCATAATGATTAAAATGCAGTAATCTAAAACAAATTCCTTAAATTAATGTTGAAGCAGATTTGTGTTAAGTGACAGTTGTATTCATTTCACTAATCGTAGACCAATGTATGTAGACAAGTTTTGTTTAAATTAATGATTCATTGTGATTATAGTACTTTAAATTTGATAAAAACAACAACAACTTTGTTTTGGATTTTTATATAAATCTCTGCTCCTGAATTATTGATATTTTCAAGTTTGTTTTTTCATCCAAACAGGAAGCTCTACGACCATACTGTGCCGAAGAATTAGCTGTCAAGTAAAATAAAGATTCTGATTAGTCTTGTGACATCATCTTCTCAATTGTCTATAAAAAATAAAGTACTGATAATTATGATCTCAAAAAAAAATTCCCAAAATAACTTTTTTGATTAGGCACTTGGGTTATACTTTTTCTCACATCAAACTAATTGACTGAAGATTGTATGAATGACCTGCATCTTTAGTAAATTATAAGTCAACGATGATTATTAGATTATTCAACTGTCTCTACAAGAGAAATATCAAATGAGTAGATGTAAATTAAAATAATTAATGTTGTTAAAAAGAGGTTTGTAAAATAATACATTAATTCATAGTTTAAAAGGAATTATACTTTCCACCGCTCAACGTCAACATTTAATAGTCAGTCTTAGTACACTACCCTAGGAAATAGTGTACCTATGAAAGCAAAAATACATAAATCATAAAGTGTGTTTAGCAAGAAAATTTTATATGATAAGAACAGCTTATGTTTCAGTGAACATTTTGTAATTTATCGTCTTAAGAGTCCACACATATAACTGGAACCATGAACCAGATAAAAAGTTTTCTTTCAACACAATTATATAAACATAGAGTTTTATTTTCTGGTTCTTTTGCAGATATGATGCTGTTGAATTAACGTGAATGAATTTATTAAACGAATGTGTGGTTTTATGTGTTCTCACTTTTTTTATGAAATGTATAATGACTACAAATGCATTCCAACATGGTGTAGTTCTTGATGTGTTTTTTTTTATTACACAGAATGGTGATAAAGATTATTTGTATTAAAGTCTGTTGCTTGATGTGACACTATGGTGATGTTAGTGGCATCATTTTAGGATAATCTGGTGTTATCCTTTTTCAGTATTAATTCTTGCCAGGTTTGAAAGTTAGTAGATCCCTTACATGAACATATGTTTTTGTTCTATGAACAAGTTTCTTAGATTGGAGTAAGTTGCCAGGTGCTTGTAAGTTACTTCATATCTCATGAAAAGGTCTTTAAAATAACATTTACATCTTGTAGTTTTGTTATTACATAAAGTCGCCAGGTGCTTGTAAGTTACTTCATATCTCATGAAAAGGTCTTTAAAATAACATTTACATCTTGTAGTTTTGTTATTACATAAAGTTGTTTTATGTAATAACAAAACTACAAGATGTAAATGTTATTTTAAAGACCTTTTCATGAGATATGAAGTAACTTACAAGCACCTGGCAACTTTATGTAATAACAAAACTACAAGATGTAAATGTTATTTTAAAGACCTTTTCATGAGATATGAAGTAACTTACAAGCACCTGGCAACTTTATGTAATAACAAAACTACCAGATGTAAATGTTATTTTAAAGACCTTTTCATGAGATATGAAGCAACTTACAAGCACCTGGCAACTTTATGTAATAACAAAACTACAAGATGTAAATGTTATTTTAAAGACCTTTTCATGAGATATGAAGCAACTTACAAGCACCTGGGGTTTTTTTAGTATGATTTTATGACACTTCCTTGAAAAAAATATGGCTTTTTTTTTCCGATTTTTCTGTTTTCAATCTTCAGTGGGATAGCAAATCATGAAAATGTCATTTTTTCCGGCTGTTATACTTTTGGCCCTTTCCATTCTTTCTTTGTACATATACTAATAAAGCCAAATATTCATGTTCTGTGTACTAGAAGTTTGATGTCATTTTCTCTGAATGTTGTTTGGTGTACTAGAAGTTTGATGTCATTTTCTCTGAATGTTGTTTGGTGTACTAGAAGTTTGATGTCATTTCCTTTGAATGTTAACTTCTGTGTACTAGAAGTTTGATGTCATTTCCTTTGAATGTTAACTTCTGTGTACTAGAAGTTTGATGTCATTTCCTTTGAATGTTAACTTCTGTGTACTAGAAGTTTGATGTCATTTCCTCTGAATGTTAACTTGTTTGGTGTACAAGAAGTTTGATGCCATTTCTTTTGAATGTTAACTTGTTTGGTGTACAAGAAGTCTGATGCCATTTCCTTTGAATGTTAACTTGTTTGGTGTACTAGAAGTCTGATGTCATTTTCTCTGAATGTTAACTTGTTTGGTGTACAAGAAGTCTGATGCCATTTCCTTTGAATGTTAACTTGTTTGGTGTACTAGAAGTCTGATGCCATTTCCTTTGAATGTTAACTTGTTTGGTGTACTAGAAGTCTGATGTCATTTTCTCTGAATGTTAACTTGTTTGGTGTACAAGAAGTCTGATGCCATTTCCTTTGAATGTTAACTTGTTTGGTGTACTAGAAGTCTGATGCAGAAGTTAACATTCAGAAGAAATGGCATCAGACTTCTAGTACACAGAAGTTAACATTCAGAGGAAATGGCATCAGACTTCTAGTACACCAAACAAGTTAACATTCAAAGGAAATGGCATCAGACTTCTAGTACACCAAACAAGTTAACATTCAAAGGAAATGGTATCAAATTTCTAGTACACCAAACAAGTTAACATTCAAAGGAAATGGTATCAAATTTCTAGTACACCAAACAAGTTAACATTCAGAGGAAATGATGTACTAGAAGTTTGATGTCATTTCTTCTGAATGTTAACTTCTGTGTGTACTAGAAGTTTTATGTCATTTCCTCTGAATGTTAACTTCTGTGTACTCAGTCCATTCTGTGTCATAAAAGAATATTTTTTTCTGTTCATGGTTTGTTTGTATTACTAGCATGAACTATATGTTTATTAATGGTGGAGAGCTGTAGTCACTTGGATTTAGAATGTGTTTGAAACTGTTAAGTTATAATTGTAAAGTATTATAGTGAAAACTTGGAATCAAATATACCAAGCTTTCAATCTGATGAAGATTTTGTATTTATTCACAATAAATTGAACCTATAGAGATAAAAAAATTCATTTTTTTAGGTATCATTTTAATAAAGAATGTGAATTAAATGTAATAACTTGGAACTATCTTTATTTTCAAATATCACTCTGCGTTAGCATTTTTTTTTCTTTATTACAGTACAGGTTTTTATCAGACTTTTTATCATATTTCCTTTGTATGTGTGAATCCAATATTCACAGATATTTTGCACACATTTCTTGACTTAATATTTACAAACTCTTCATAACAGTGAAATTACGAACACATTGGTTGATTTTTAGAGAACAAAAAAGTGTAGGAAATGTGATTCTTTCTAATGCCAATTGAGTTAATAAAAAACGTTCCTGAGAAACAAAACTTGTTTACTTTGCCTTTGGTTTTATAAAAAAAAGTTTTCCATGCTAGAATAAAATGTAAAAAAAAAAAACTTTGTGAGTTAAAAACGTTGTGGATGTTAGTTATTAGCTGAAATATAACTGGAAAGTGTGTTAATTTGCCAGATTACAACCATTATAGATGAGTACAGCAAAGTGTCCCACTCCATTAGGCCTTCTGCATACGAAGTTTGAGTTAGATTAACCACATAATAAAACATATCTTTATAATACAAAGTTCCTGCTTGTTCAAATGTACTATTAACCATCTTACGCGGGTAATTCATCACTATAATCTCCTGTTTTAGCTAATTTGTCCATTTAATAGTAATATTCTTCTTGAGTGTAGTTTAATCACGTTCGAACAGTGTTCCAATTTCCTTGCTGTTCTGGGAACTAGTTGCCCCATAAATAGCAAAAACAGTCTTAGACCACACTGTACATCTTGGCAAGCGTTTCACAGATCTTCCAGTTTGTGTGTATTTCAGCTTTGAAAACAATGTTTGAGCAAACTAAAGCCACGAATGTCTTCTGAAGCTGGATTGGCCAAGGAATCGACACCTAGGTATGTGGTTAAGAGGGATTGCAGTAATTTCGGTTTCATCAGCAGTCTATCTCTTGAAAACAGCCATTTATTCTTGAAGTTTGGCTAGAAACTGGTAAACGTTTGGCATCTAAGGTTTGTAATCTAATCGAATCATTGTTTAACTTTGTCATATTTTATGTATGGGCCGGATTCTTTACAGTAAGCGATGAATTTCAACGATAAATAAACAGCACACGGTCCACTAGTTTTTAAAATAATATATTAAAACAAGTCAAACGTGTATACAAATGTTCGTTACGCCGTGGGTTATCACATTTGTATCCAGAGCTTTAAATAATTCTCTTTTTCGTCATAGGTTGGTTTAATTACATTAGAACGCAAACGAAAAGACAAATTATTCTCATCTACTATGTTATTGCAATACAATAGTTGATAATTTCTCTTTAGAAATCGTCACTATACGCTCTTTATGGCTAAACTCACAATCACGCAGCTTATATGGACTAGTATTTTTAGCCCGACAGATGTCTAGAACGTTCTATACACTACGAGATAGTATGATGCAATAATACTCAATGAAAACAACGAGAGAACTCGGAAGGTTCTAATGACATGACGCGGTAATATAACAATCACCCATTCATAACTATTGAACTACACAACGTATGATTCGTAAATAAACCTGCAATAAAGTTTCACTTTTAAAAATAACTAAATTTAACACTCGCGCTATATAACTATCTAATCATAACTCTTGAATTAAATGGAAACAGTCGAGTATATCCAACAAACTTGTTAATAGAACCTGGAGATGTGTTCAGATTTTTTGAAATGGCATTTAGGGTCAAAGAGATCTCACTAGTAATCATAACCATCACGTTGCAAATGAAGGTATTGCTCCAGTTTGGACTGGGGTGCGGTCTCGGAGCCTGCTGCTTTTATCAACGCCCTGTTGTTTGAGTTTGCCTAGCTCATTGAATGACACTGAAGTCTCCATTCTAATCTTTGACTAATATGTTTGCCATTTTGTACTTATTTTAGAAGTCATTGTCCAGTACAAAGGCAACGTTTTGAGTGGAAGACGAGGTAGTGTGGTTAAATTTTTTATCTCAGTCATTTAGTAAGTTTGCACTGGGTTAATTTCTTACCTAATTTAACTTACGTGTAACTCTCTTTACCTTTACAGTTTCTTTTGCTAATAATTTACAGGTTATTATTGTTTTGGCTATTTCCTACGGTGTGTACAAGTCATTATAATAAATGGGTGATTTATTACATTTTACTCAGTTTGAAGCCAATAATTGAAGAACAAAAAATACTTATACGATATTTTAATATTATTGAATTTCATGAAATGTATTTATTGAGGCATTACATCAAGCTAACTTAGTAATGTGTGCGTTACATTTTACATACCTACAGCAGGGGCATAGGAGCTGGGGGGGGGGGGGGTACCTCCCAATAATCTCAAAATAACAGGCTAAGTAAAACATATATAATTAAACATTATTATTACTGTGTGTATTTTAAAGCCAAAGAAATATTATAGATGGTAGCATTACATTTGACTGGTCTAAATGGTCAGATTGGGCCCGGCATGGTCAGGTGGTTAGGGCACTCGACTCGTAATCTGAGGGTCGCGGATTCGAATCCCCATCACACCAAACATACCAACCTCCGCCTTTGCCTGGTCCCAAGTCCAGGATGAGAAAGGATAATTTTTGGGCGCGGGGCTAGCAACTCCACCTCGTAAAAACCAACCTGCTACAAGTAACTGCAACAACAACTTTCCGTTGGTGAGGTGTTGTTACGGCCCTATGGGAGTTTACAGGAATAAAAAAAAAAAAATCTTAGTTTGACTATTATTTATGCAGGCCTCATGATCGGGAAAAAGTCAAAAATACAGAAACGTTAATATTTATTTTTATTTTTTGTAAATCGAGATGATGGTAACATTTTAAAATAATCGTGTGCGTGTGTATCCTAAATACTTAAACTTATTTATATATTATAATAATCGCTTAACTGTATTGTTTTTGCCAATAGGCAAAGTTTAACCTATGTGTGTTATCTTATATTCGTGTTTGTATTTAAATATGGTATTATGAATATAATTAATGATGTTTTGAAAACATAACCGAAAAATTTTATAATGCTATGAATTTGGAATTTTTTTGCTGCCCCGAACTTGTAACTTTGTCTAGTACCCTAGTTTTTTTTTTTTAATAATCACACGAACGCCGAATTAAAAAAAAAAAGAGAGAGAAGTATACGTATCTATGAAAGTATATATTCATTTCGAAAATGTAATTAAGATACTGCTGATTACTGAAAAAAATTCCCAAGGTTATTGCGA